TGGCACCAGTGGTGAAAATATTATACGAAAATCACAGCTGTGAGTGGAGAGGCGCCGTCATGTCCCAGGTACAGGTGGCAGCTGCACGTGCCCTGCTGGCACCGGCCATTGTCTGCGATGCGGCTTTCCCCCCATTGTCATCTAGGCAGGTGGCAGGGTTTCCTCTGTTTGACCTGCAGCTGGGGAACCTCTCCTCCCTGGTGACCTGGGAGCTGCCTGCTCCTCTCCTCGGGCTGTTCTTTGGGTTCCCGGGCCAGTTTGCATTCTCGGCAGAAAGCGGTTAGTAACCTTGAACGAGTCCCTTCGCTCCTCTGAGCCTCAGCTTCTTCACGTAGAGGAGGAAGCACAGAGCTCATTGTTAATGTGAAGGTTGGGGAATGGTGGGTGGGAAATGGGTGGCCCCCTCTGCCGGGCACTGAGGCTTATTCCACAGCATCATTGCGTGTCTCCTCAGCCAGCGGGTCCCAAGTGCCGAATGGCCTGGAGGAGCGAACAGGCCATGTCTGTCCTGGTGAGGCTTTTGGTTCAGCTGGCGTTTGGGTCTTAATTAGATATTCAAAGCTCTCTCTCCAAAGTGGCCAAGGACTAGAAAGGACGATGCACAGACCTCCTGGGCCCTGATGTAAGCAGAGGACATCTCTCACTAGCAGTGGCAGAGAGACAGGAAGAAAGAACAAGGGAGTTAGGAAAAGAGGTGTCAGGCCCCCAGTCCTAAGGTGCCTTTGAGCAAATTAGGAAAAGACACTCCCAGCCCAGGGCAGGTCAGCTCTCACCCTTGACATCAGGCTCAGAGTTGGGCTCTCCGCCCATTGGGGTGCCCTTGAGCAGAGAGCCACCTGGCTGGTGCAGGAGGACCCGAGGGGGAGGGCACGTGAGGAGGGGAAGGGCCGCATGGCTGAGCACAGGAGCGGGTTCTGAGGGATGGCCCAGAGGCCCCAGTGGACGCCAGCAGGTGCTAACCCACGGTATGGTGGCATCATTCTCCCAGGTCCCTGCTGACACCCCAGGCCTGGGAAACAGATCTTCCTAGAAGCCACTGCCTTTTAACTGGTGAAGGAGAATTACTTACGGGGTGGGATTTGTTGGTGTCACAGAATAAGGACAGTGGGTGAAGAGAGGCATTAAGTGGAAAGCCGGGAGCTGACACATCTCCAGGGCCGGCCCCCAGCAAAATACAGATGCCCCCTCGCAGCCCAAAGAACGCCTGCCTGAGAGGGAGAAATGGGAACAAGCAGGCCCTGAAGGAGAAAGCCCCACATCCTTCCCATCAGCAGGGACAGAGCGGCAGGGAGAGGCCCCACCTCACCGCATGCAGAAGTAGAAGAGGCTCCAGGAGGAAAGGCTGCGGCACTGCCCACTCCAAGTGTCCTCAAGGCCAGCACGACACGCCTGGCTGGGATTTCTTTGATTCTGTAATAATTCTAGACAGCATTCCTGCCCTCACACAGACACGTGCTCAGGGCGAGGTTTTTGTGGAGGTGGTGGGGGTGGTGATTTTTAAGTCGGATCCTGCATTGTTGCCAGTCAACTTGGCTGTCTGTGCCAGAGTGGCTGCTGCCAGGGTCTGCCCAGCTGAGGTCTGGTGTGAGCATGGCATTGGGAGGGAGCCTGGGCCCTGACTAGGCCACTAGAAGCTGTGTGATTGTGGACAGGTTACTCAACCTCTCTGTGCATGGGCTTACAGTAAAGTCACGTGATGGCATCCTAGGGAGAGTCAAGGCCAGGGCATTGGGAGTCCCTGGCGTCCAAAGTCAGGTCTGGGGTTCCTGCCCTGGCGCAGCCTCTGTGTGGCCATGGACTCGCAGAAACTGTGTGTTTGAACTGCATCTGAAATGCTTTGCCTTCTGCTCTTCAGAGGTTGCTGTGTTTTGGGGAAACATAAGGAACCAATAGTAATTCAGACTTGTAAGTTCTTATCAGCAGTTAGGATCTCTATAAAGCTTTAGGAGAAAATAAAAAGAGAATTTAGCCATGTTTTTTTTGTTTGTTTTAAATATATTTTTATTGCTTTCAGAGAGGAAGGGAGAGGGAGAGATAGAAACATCAATGATGAGAGAGAATCATTGATCGACTGCTTCCTGCACACCCCCGACCAGCTGCGCTTGTTCTACTATCTATCTATAATAGATAGTATGGGTAATATGCTAATAAAAGGGTAATATGCTAATTAGACCAGATAGATTAGACGTCTTCTGGACATCATTCCAGACGTCCTTCCTGACAAAGCCAGGGCCCGGATGAAGCCGCCCGGGGTCCCGGGTGCCTGCAGCTGGCCAGAGGGAGGGAAGCCTGGGTCCTGAGTGCCTGCGGCCAGGTAGAGCAGGGCCAAGGCAGAGGTGGTTAGGGGTGATGAGGCAGGCAGGCGAGCAGTTAGGGGCGATCAGGCAGCCAGGCAGAGTGGTTAGGGGTGATCAGGCAGGCAGGCAGGCAAGCAGTTAGGAACCAGTGGTCCTGGATTGCGAGAGGGTGCAGGCCTGGCTGAGGGACCTCCCCCATTGCACGAATTTCATGCACCAGGCCTCTAGTCCTCCTATATAATAAAGAGGTAATATGCAAATTAACCCTCACACAGAAAAGCCTAAGAGACCATTACGAACTAATGACTGGTCGATCAATTGCTATGATGTGCACTGACCACCAGGGGGCAGACGCTCAATGCAGGAGCTGTCCCCTAGTGGTCAGTGCGCTCCCACAGCCAACCTCCCACAGCCAGCCAACTTCCCCTGGTCCCTCCCCAAATCCAGCAGGCCCCAGCTGGACCGGCCCCAATCAGGACTGGGCAAGATGGCCCCGATAGGCCCTGATTGCTGGCCAGGCCTAGGGACCCCACCCATGCATGAATTTCATGCACTAAGCCTCTAGTACAGTGATGGCAAACCTTTTGAACTCGGCGTGTCAGCATTTTGAAAGACCCTAACTTAACTCTGGCGCCATGTCACATATAGAAATTTTTTGATATTTGCAACCATAGTAAAACAAAGATTTATATTTTTGATATTTATTTTATATATTTACATGCCATTTAACAAAGAAAAATCAACCAAAAAAATGAGTTCGCGTGTCACCTCTGACACGCGTGTCATAGGTTCGCCATCACTGCTCTAGTATCTTTTTTAAAAAAAATATTTTATTGAATTTTTTACAGAGAGGAAGGGAGAGGGATAGAGAGTTAGAAACATCGATGAGAGAGAAACATCGATCAGCTGCCTCCTGCGCACCCCCCACGGGGGATGTGCCCGCAACCAAGGTACATGCCCTTGACCGGAATCGAATCTGGGACCCTTCAGTCTGCAGGCTGATGCTCTATCCACTGAGCCAAACCAGTTAGGGCTCTAGTATCTTAATAAGCAATGAAAAGTCTCAAGTGTTGGGTCAGTTGACAGTATCTGCTATTGGATTTTTCAGATTGGGGTGTGATTCTTGATCATAAGTCCCATATTTAAAAACCATGGCTGCCCAGGTGGCATGGTTCAGTGGTTGAGTGTTGACCTATGAATGAGGAGGTCATGGCTCAGTTGCCAATCAGGGCACACGCCCAGGCTGCAAGCTCGATCAGGCGGGCATGCAGGAGGGAGCAGATCAATGATTCTCATCATTGATGTTTTTCTCTCTCTCCCTCTCCCTTCCTGTCTGAAATTAATGAAAATATTTAAAAAAAGATGTAGTAGAAATTACATATATTCTTGAATTATGTAATGCCACATTAAACTGGAATATACACTGATCAGAGATAAATTCCAACATTTTGCTTTTAGGAAATAGGTTCCTTAATTTCCCTTCTATAGAAAGTTCGGGGAAGAGCCCTTCAGTATGTGTCAGTCACAGTGCAGTGTGTGAAGGCCCTTCTGCTCTGTCTCGGGCTCTGTCTCCATGGACTCGTGTCAATAACGTGTGTTGCGCCTTCAGGACTAATCTGCACCTTCACCAGCCTCAGTCCTACAAAGCAGAGCAGGCTAGCAGTGGTTTAAGATTATGCTGGTTGAGACGAAAAACATGCTAATTCAAATCTAAACTTTTCTATCAGAAGTGACATGCTGCTTTCTAAGAAGGGGAATGGATAAGGCACTTGCTCAGTGAGGCCACTATACTGTCAAAGGCCTTGCTGAAGCGGAAGGATGTTCTCATGGGCACATGGCCCTCTTCTTGCTTTCCAGCCCGCGGCCGCCCATCCCACTGTCCCTGCTGCTAACCGAAGAGGAGGCGGCGCTGAGCATCCAGTCCTTCTGGAGAGCCTACCTGGTGAGTCCTGGCCGCAGTGGCGTGCGGGTGCTGGGCTTTCCTGGCACGAGGGCCCCTGGGGAAGAGACGAATTGGAAACAGGATATAGTTGACAGCCAGACCTCAGAAATAGGGTTCTCGCCGAAACTGGTTTGGCTCAGTGGATAGAGCGTCGGCCTGCGGACTGAAAGGTCCCAGGTTCGATTCCGGTCAAGGGCATGTACCTGGGTTGCGGGCACATCCCCAGTAGGAGATGTGCAGGAGGCAGCTGATCGATGTTTCTCTCTCATCGATGTTTCTAACTATCTCTCTCCCTTCCTCTCTGTAAAAAATCAATAAAATATATATTTTTTTTTTTTAAAAAAAGAAAGAAATAGGGTTCTCTGTAAATACTTCTCACGAGGAATTTAGAATTTTTACCAAAACTTATTTAGCAATTATCATTAAAAGTACCCTCCAATCTTTTAAAGTTGGGTTGACTGGCAAGTGTTACCTAACAAACAATATTACATCCCTGGCCAGGTGGCTCTGCTGTTTGGAGCATTGTCCCTTATGCCAAAAGGTTGCAGGCTCAGTTCCTGGTCTGGGCGCACACATACCTAGGTTGCAGGTTCATTCCTGGGCCAGGTGCAACTGATCAACTTTTCTCTCTCACATCAGTGTTTCTCTCTTTTTAAAATCAAATTTAAAAATCAATAAAAACAAATCCTCAGTTGAGGATTAAAAAAATAATCTATAATAATAAAAGCATAATATGCTAATTAGAGCGGGCAACCTTTCGAATGAAGCTCGGTCCTGGGTGCCAGAGGGAAGTCGGTGCCGGCAGCTGGGGGAAGGATGTCCTACTCTTGCATGAATTTTGTGTATTAGGTCTCTAGTATTACATACAGACAGGCAGCAATACATGTTTATTTTAGAAAAAAATTAGAAAATCCAGATAATTCATATAAAGCAAATAAAAAAGTAAAAATTTTGAGTCACAGATAACTCTGTCACCACAAGATTATCATTGTTGCCCTAGCCAGTTTGGCTCAGTGGATAAAGTGTTGTCCTGCAGACTGAAGGGTCCCGGGTTCTATTCCGGCCAAGGGCACATTCCCAGGTTTCGGGCTCGATCCCTAGGATCGAGTGTGCAGGAGGCAGCCGAGCCATGATTCTCTCTCATCATTAATGTTTCTCTCTCTTTCTCCCTCTCCCTTCCTCTCTGAAATCAATAAAATATTTTTTTTAAAAAAAGATTATCATTGTTGACATTTTGGTGTAAACATTTCCAAATCTTAAAAATCTTAACACATAGGATAACATATAAATACCTAACTTACAGAAAGTAACCTTTTCTTTTAAAACTCATCTTTCAACTTTTCTATTGGTTGTTTCCAGTTTACCGTTATTATAATGTATGCTGCAATGCATATCTTTGTGAAGCCATTTTTGCACATTGTCAGCTTGTTTACCTAGAAGGAATTCTAGAACTGAAATTTCCTGGTCAAAGCTCCTGATCCGGATTGTCATGTGGCCCTTCAGGAAGGAAGTACTTTTTAAAATTCTTACCAAATACAAATGAGAATATAGCTCATGCCAAGAAGTGTACAACGTCTCTGATTAGTTGGCACTTAGAGTGTCGATGTTAAGAAGCTCCTAGGTGCGCGGACGGGAAGGTGGGAGAGGAGAAGCTGGAGAAGCCGCAGCGAGCTGGAGCTGCCAGAGGACCTGAAGAAGAAGCAGAAAAACCTGTGAAAACTAAGACTGTTTCTTCCAGTAATGGAGGGGAAAGTTCCAGTCGCAGCGCTGAGAAGCGATCAGCTGAAGAAGCTGCAGACCTCCCAACAAAGCCTACAAAGATCTCCAAGTTTGGATTTGCCATAGGTAGTCAGACGACAAAGAAAGCCTCCGCCATATCCATCAAACTTGGATCAAGTAAACCTAAAGAAACTGTTCCAACTCCTGCTCCAAAAGCCCTTTCAGTAGCAGCAGATTTTAATGAAGATGAAGACAGCGAACCAGAGGAAATGCCTCCAGAAGCAAAGATGAGGATAAAGAATATTGGAAGGGATACACCAACATCAGCAAGACCAAACTCCTTTAATAAAGGAAAGCATGGGTTTTCTGATAACCAGAAGCTATTTAAGCGAAATATAAAATCTCATCTTGGAAATGTCCATGACCAAGACAATTAAATAATATGTTTTGAAATTGGGGTCTGGGGTGGGTATAAAGTTAAAAGGAACAGTTTCCTTTTTAAAGAATGATATAAGACTATCTTTGGAGCCGACATTTTTTTTTTAAGATTGAGTGGTACACTAATAAATGAGAGTTTGAAATTAGACGTAATTTATGTTTTATATACAGATTTCAAGACATTTGCTAATTCTGTAGTTTCATGTAATTAGTTTCCAAAGGTTACAGATAATTTTAAAAAAATCAGAAATGGTACCTTTCTAAGAATTGCATATTTTTTTAGACACAACCATTTAGCACATTAAGAGGGAAGCGAAAAAGTTATTGTCTGTTTAAACTGCAAGCGATTACTCTAACTTAACTCCCTTATTAACCTAAACTTTCTGTCTCCCAGGAACAGCCTTATAAAGAGGGAGTATTGTACTGGGAGGAAAATGTTACTGGAGTATTGAATGAAAGTGAATTGGATAAAATTAAAATATTGCTTTTTTTCCTAATGGGCATTTGTTTTGTTTCAAGTCAAACTAGATATTGCATTGCTATCAGTGGATACAGAGGCTTAGCTCTTTAAAAGAAAAATTTTTTAATTTTTTGTAAACAGTTGAGTATTTGATATAGCCCACTTCACCTTAATGGGTCTTGTCTGCCTTCATTAGTCTACAAAGAACAACTGTTTGCTACCAAAGTAAATCAGTATTTTGAATGTGCTTCTCTTGGTTTTTGTTATTAGCTTAGTTCCTGTAAGCATTTCCACCAGACTTGAGGCAAGTCATAGGAAGCTGTTTTTTTTAAAATACAAACCATCACCAAAAATTTTAAATGTAGGTAATACTTAAATATTTGGCTGTTTTATTTTTTAAAATGTAACAGACAACAAAAAAGCAGCATAGTGTCAAGATGGAAAATGAGAAAGATGCACTTTCTGTAAATGTTATACCATTTAAGTTACTAATTTGTGAATTCCATTTTGATTTGTACTTAACTACAGGAATCCTTATTTAATACAATAAAATGGTTTATTTTAAGTGTATGCATATTAACCAATGGCCTCTCAAAAGCACATTTTCAATATTGAAAATAGAAAGAAAGAAAATGCATCTTTAAACATTTTATGGAATCTTTGACTACATATACTTTGTTAGAGCTATGTGTTACACTGACATCAGCAACTTTTCTACTTTGTGTTCCTTTTTATGAAACAACTAGTAGTCCGGTGCACAAAGTACGTGCACATTAAAAGGGAATTAATTGCCCTAACCGGTTTGGCTCAGTGGATAGAGCATCGGCCTTTGAACTCAAAGGTCCCAGGTTCGATTCCGGTCAAGGGCATGTACCTTGATTGCGGGCACATCCCCAGTGGGGAGTGTGCAGGAGGCAGCTGATCAATGTTTCTCTCTCATTGATGTTTCTAACTCTATCCTTCACCCTTCCTCTCTGTAAACAATCAATAAAATATATATTTTTTAAGAAAGGTAATTAATTAGCAAAGATATTTTAATATTGCTATTTGCCCTTTCTCTATAATAGAAGGGTGAGAGATGAAAGGAAATTAGTAAAATGTATATGAAAATAATATATAAATTTATTAATAAATAAACAGTAACAAAAGGCTATAACAACAACAGAGGCATGATATAAAAATGACAAAAACATGATATGAAAACAACAGAAACATGATATGAAAACAAAAACATGATATAAAAACAACAGTGATGCAAACAATGACTGATAAAGTGATTAAACTTATTCTAATATCTCCCTGTACACCACATTAAGAGTGAAAACACTTTCAGAGTGCTTGACTAATTTCCCTTGTGATGAAGTACTTAGAACTTTAACTGTAACGTCACATGCTCTTCAAACTCGAGAGAAAGCAACATTAACTGACCATGTGCGAAAATGGGTTCAGGTAGGAATATGCCTACTCTGTCTAGAGCAGCGGTTCTCAACATGTGGGTCGCGACCCCTTTGGCGGTCGAACGACCCTTTCACAGGGGTCACCTAAGACCATCCTGCATATCAGATATTTACATTACGATTCATAACAGTAGCAACATTACAGTATGAAGTAGCAACGAAAATAATTTTATGGTTGGGGGTCACAACATGAGGAACTGTATTTATTTGTTTATTTATTTTAAATAATTTTTATTTCTTGAAGTATTACAAAGAGTATTACAAATGTTTCCTTTTTTCCCCCCCTTGACATTCCCCCGGCCCCTACCCCCTAGTGTTTTGTGTCCATTGGTTATTCTTATATGCATGCATATAAGTCCTTCGGTTGATTTCTTAACCACCCCCCCAAACCTTCCCCAGGCTTCCCACTGTAGTTTGACAGTCTGTTCAGTGCTGCTCTGCCTCTGCATCTACCCCTGTTCATCAGTCTATACTGGTCCCCATTATCTGTCCCAACCTCACTGGAGCCATCCCGACCTCACCAGAGCTAACCCTACCTCACCGGGGCTGTTTCAACCTCACCGGGGTTGTCCCGACCTCACCGGGTCCGTCTCAACCCTGCCAGTGCCGTACATCACCAGGGTTGTTTTGGCCTCACCGGGGCTTTCCCAACCTCACTGGGGCCGTCCCGACCTCACCAGGGCCGTTTTAGCCTCACCAGGGCCGTTTCAACCTCACCAGGGCCATCCCAACCTCACCGGGGCCATCTCGGCCTCACTGGGGCTGTTTCAACATCACCGGGGCTGTCCCAACCTCACCGGGGCCGTCCCAGCCTCACCGGGGCTGTCCCGACCTCACTGGAGCCATTTCAACCTCACCGGGTCTGTCCCAACCTCACTGGAGCCGTTTCAACCTCACCGGGGCTGTCCCGACCTCACCGGGGCCCTCTCAGCATCACTGGGGCTGTTTCAACCTCACCGGGGCCATCCCAGCCTCACCGGAGCTGTCCCGACCTCACCGGGGCCGTCCCAGCCTCACCGGGGCTGTCCCGACCTCACTGGAGCCATTTCAACCTCACCGGGTCTGTCCCAACCTCACTGGAGCCGTTTCAACCTCACCGGGGCCGTCCTGACCTCACTGGGGCCGTCCCGACCTCATCGGGGCCGTTTCAACCTCACCGGGGCCGTCTCGACCTCACCGGGGCCGGAGGAACTGTATTTAAAGGGCCAGAAGGTTGAGAACCACTGGTCTAGAGTTTCTCCTTGTGACCTATTAATAGTCATCACAAATTGTGGTATCATGGGAAACCGTCATTGAATCAATTTAAATGGGAGGCCAGTGTCAGATGGGGAGAAATTGATTCTTGGAATCAGAACAACCTCTCCCTCTGCAGATCCTGTTAATACTTCAGCTTCAATAATGTTAGGTCATAATCTTTTGATAATAAATCTGATACCATTACAAAGACCCCATTTACTATTGAGATTTCTCAATAGCATGATGATTGCACCCACTTTCAATTTTAATTTAATTTAGGACACGGCATTCCCAAAGGAGTAATACTAATAAGAAATTCGATGGGAAAAGTTTCCTTTTCAGCATCATCTGTGGAATCAATGGAATCATCACTCAAATATGTGTGAAAATCTCCATCTAGTATATCCAATATTTCTTCATTTAATTTTTGAACATGCTCAGTTTTTGGACAAAGAATTGCACATTTAGATATATTTTTAATATTATCTATAGATATAGTATTTCCAAAGGTAGCTTCAATAATAGATCCATTACAAATCATTTTACTTCCACACTCCACTCAGAGGGCAGGTTCCTGCCTGAAATCTCAACCTCCAGAAAACAGCTGAGGGAGGGCGCAGCCATTTCCAAGATGATCCCTGCAGGACTGACTTCCTTCCGGTTGGTCGCAGTTCTGGCCGTGATGTTACACCCAAGGTTTTTATATAAGTACATAAGAAAAATGCAATAAAACAGTAATGTTCAGGTTTTGTTTCTTTAAAATAGCAAAGCCCTTTCTTCAAACCAAATCCCACTGAGAAGCCTGGTATATAACCAGATGTAACCACAGAAGCGGCTGTTCTGTCCCTGCTTCTTCCCGGCTGTAAAACACCTCTGCCCTCCTACACACACACACACACACACACACACACACACACACACACGCACACGCACACGCACACACACACGCAGGGCCTGTGTTAGGGACAAAATGAAAATCATAGCCTGAAAGACAGATGAATTCAACTCACCACACCAACAAACACTGCCACATAAAAAGATTGCCGAGGGGCTCAGACTTAACTGTGGCTATAGCACTGTCGTCCTACCACAGTTAGAAGTGTCCCTGAGGCACTGTGTAAAAGGGCAGGCTATTTTATTGATTTTTTACAGAAAGGAAGGGAGAGGGATAGAGAGTTAGAGAAACATCCATCAGCTGCCTCCTGCACACCCCCTACTGGGGATGTGCCCGCAACCAAGGTTAATGCCCTTGACCGGAATCGAACCTGGGACCCTTGAGTCCACAGGCTGACGCTCTATCCACTGAGCCAAACCGGTTAGGGCAAAGGGCAGGCTATTAAAGCCAAATGTCTCGGTGATAAAATGTCACTGAGAGGGGCCACAAGAGGCGGAAAGTCCTAAGGCAGTCGTGGGCAAACTACGGCCTGCGGACCGGATCCGGCACGTTTGAAATGAATAAAACTATTGAAAAAAAAGACCGTACCCTTTTATGTAATGATGTTTACTTTGAATTTATATTAGTTCACACAAACACTCCATCCATGCTTTTGTTCTTGCCCTCCGGTCCAGTTTAAGAACCCATTGTGGCCCTCGAGTCAAAAAGTTTGCCCACTCCTGTCCTAAGGTGTCACTAGAAGGAAAAGATTTCTGATGTACGGGATGCTTTGGAAGGTTCTGTGGATAAGAGGGATTTGATCTCAGCCTTAAAAGAAAGGGTTATCAGTTGGGACCAAGAGGCTATCCAAAGAAGAGGAAATGCCATATATATTTATTAAAACACTAGAGTCCCGATGCACAAAATTTGTGCAAGAGTAGGCCTTTCTTCCCCCAGCTGCTGGCACCGGCTTCCCTCCGGCACCCGGGACCTGGGCTTCCCTCACAGACCCGGCTTCCTCGGGAAGGTCGTCAGGAAGGACGTCCTGTCTAATTAGCATATTATACTTTTATTATTATAGACTAGAGGCCCGGTGCACAAAAATTTGTGCACTCGGGGGGAAGGGGGGGTCCCTCAGCCTGGCCTGTGCCCTCTCGCAGTCTGGGACCCCTCGGGAGATAACGACCTGCAGGCATAGGCCTGCTCCC